CCCCTCCTACTTTTTGCTACTTTTGTCTCCTTTTCTTCATCTCTTGCTCTTCTGCTCCAATATGTCTATTGCGCCTTTCTTTTTCCTTCTTTACTGGTCTAATGTTTAATGCTCATCTTCAGTTTTCCCCTATTTTACCTCTTCTGCTCGCCGTTCGCTCTTAACCCTGTACTCTCCTCTTCTTTTTTTGGCATTTTTTCTACTGCCACACTGGCGCATTTATTTTTTTGCCACTTTGGTACTCCTAATTTAATCCCCTATTTCTATACCCCTATGGCCCCCTTTTGGTTCAGCTTTTTTCTCCTTTGTTCGTTTGATTTTGACTCTTTTCGCTCGCCTTTTATTCTTCCGCCTCCCTTATGCTTTACGCCCTTCTCTCCTCTATTCCCTCATTACATTTTCAATACACTTCCCGCGCTCGTACTTTCTCCCGCCTTGCTCTGCCTTTGCCTTTTTCCGCCAATGGATAGAAACGGTTTTTCTCTTTTTCGCCTTTTCGTGACACTATGCCCCCTTGCTCATTTTTTGCTCCCTCGCCCTCTTACAACCTTGGTCTCTTTCATTTATTTATTCTTTGTGCCCCCTCTGGTCCTCACTGACCACTCCTCTGATACGCCGTTTTTTACATCCTGTCCAGTTCTGATGGTATTTATTTTATCATTTTCCCTACTGCCTCTCTAGAACTCGCCATTCGTTTGTGACGTTACTCCTTTCTTCTTCTTCCCATTTGATCCAACCCCTTCTTTTTTTTCTGTTAGTTCTTCGCTCTTTTCCTATGACCCTCGCACTTCTTTTTTATCAAATCACTTAAATATTGTGCAATCAGAAACGCACGATATTTGATCTGTGAGATATAATTGAATTAATTTCATTGCAATAACCTTTTCTTCATTTTGAACGACCTTGCACCACAAACAGGGCCATTCCTTAGTTACGTCGCTAAGGAAAATCCAGGCCACGAACTTGCACCACAAAACAAGGTCACTCCTCACTTACTTAACCGGAAAACCGTAGACCTTGACTTTGGTTCAAAAACCGAAGAAAGATCTTTAACCAATACCTGATGCGTGAGAAGAAACCGGAAGGAAAGTGAAGGAAGTGTAAAGAACGTTTTTACGTTGCTACATGATTTTGGCATCTCTACATTTATGTCTGTTTTGAGACATGAGGAGAAACCTGGCGGAGGGGTAAAAAAGATCTGAAGGGGAAGTGAAGGAGGCACCAAGAAGGAGACATACGCTCCTGATAGTAGTTTATTTTCCTACTCAAACTTTTTCGACAAATTTACAAAATATAGTTGTGTACATCAAGAGAAAATACATCAAACTTATATATTAAACCGCTTAATTTTATACTAAAACTGTTTCGACAAATGTATCAGGAGCACATTCTAGCATACTGTTTACCCTCCTGTCACCATCGCATTCGAAAATGAAGGCAATTTATTATTAGCAGCTGATCTAACCCATACATGCGTTCCTGGCACTTTATGTTCTTACTAACATTGTTTCCACATATATATGCGTGTATCAGGAGCACATCAATAGTAGTGATACCTACCTGCCTCTAGTATCTTATAGGCTCCTGCCACCATTGCATTTGAAACAGAAGACAATTTCATTGACAGTTGGCATTGGAACTTACATGTGCTCCTGATACTGAGTTATTACTACTAAAACTTTATCCGTGTACCAGAAACAAATACCACGCTACTGTCGCCAACGCATTCGAAAGAAAAAGCATCTTCATTAACAGCTCCTCCCCTAACACAATAAACGTGGTCTTGATACCACGATTTATAGCAATTTGTTTAACAGGATTACAATAGTTTTTACACCAAAATTTGTCAGAAGGAAGTAACCGAAGGGCCAATGGAATTTAATAAACATCCTTACCTTTATGTGGTCTTAATCGAACAGTTTTCAAGGTGTTTATCAGGAGAACAGCATTTTTCTTAATTTGTATCTGTGATTTTCACACAACAATCTCTAAACCATATTTTTATCAGGATTGACAATGCGATAGGAAGTGTATGGCTTATGTGCCCGTGGTACCTGTATTAGGGGCACAACAGTTCACGTAGTTTTCTGCCCTTATGACCTTTAGGGTTTTAAATGGAACACGGGGGTTTTTGGTGACAACAAGGAGACTGATATAAATATTTCGCATGCCGTTTTTGCTACGAGAGGTATTGCATTGGGGGGTTCGTTAACTTGCCCCCCCCCCCACTGAGAGATTTCATAGTCGTATTATTTTGAAATGAATGCGCTCATTATGCGCTCATAGGCGCCACCGATAATAACTCTTGCGCCATTATCGTTTTTTAGAAATCCGAAAAAAACATTTGGGGGGGGGGGCAAGTGAACGTAGCCCCCCCCCGTACGTATTTTGTCCCTTGTAACTAGGTCACCTGATACATTTGGTTATGCGCTCAATTGCGCCACTTGAATTAAAGCTAGCGCCATTACGGTTAAGCCGTGACAAATTTTCAAAAAGTGGGGGGGGGGCAACTTAACGTTTTTAAAAGTTACTTTTTTTTAACATCTTTTCATACGAAATTGTACTCTCAGGTATGCGCTGAAATGCGCCGTAAAAAGATATCTTTGCGCCATTATTGTTTTTTGGTTATCCTTAAATATATTTGGGGGGGGGGGCAAGTGAACGGAATCCCCCATAACGCATTTTGCTACCGGTATTTGTGCCACTTGATACATCTGGTTATGAGCTCAATTGCGCCACTTGAATTAAAGCTAGCGCCATTACGGTTAAGCCATAAAAAAATTTTAAAAAGGGGGGGGGGCTAACTTAACGTTTTCAAAAGTTACGTTTTTTAACATGTTTTTTCTACTACATCGTACCTTTCATCATGCGCTAAAATGCGCCGTAAACAAAAATCTTGGCGCCATTATAGTGTTTCAGAAACACTATACAGGGTGTTTTTTTGGGAGCTTTAGTTAAACGATTCTGAGAAAGTAAAATAGGTAGGTTTTTAAAAATTTGTATTTAGGAGTTACTCCGAAGGCCGAATCGATGTAAAATATTTTCAAAATGGACGCACTTCCGGAAATAACTTTTGAAAACGCTAAGTTAGACCCTCCACTTTTTAAAAATTTTTTATGGCTTAACCGTAATGGCGCTAGCTTTAATTCAAGTGGCGCAATTGAGCGCATAACCAAATGTATCAGGTGACCTAGTTACAAGGGACAAAATACGTACTGGGGGGGGCTACGTTCACTTGCCCCCCCCCAATGTTTTTTCGGATTTCTAAAAAACGATAATGGCGCAAGAGTTATTATCGGTGGCGCATATGAGCGCATAACGAGCGCATTCATTTTAAAATAATACGACTATGAAATCTCTCAGTGGGGGGCCAAGGGTAACGTTTAAAGGACCAAAAATCCCAATTATGTCTGTCGGTCCGTCGGTCTATCTGTCAGTCTGTCGCTCTGCGCTCTCATTTTCGGCTAAACGACTGAACCAAATTTGGTATACACATTCTTAGACATTAAATGAAAAGCTGAAAAACTTTTGCTTGAACGATTTAGCTTTTCTTCCTTGTAAAATTAGAAATGGATAATTTGTCATTTTTTTAAAAAATAGCCTAGTTTTTAATATGGCCAGCTCTGCCTCTGTCTCTTTTTCTTTACCTCTTTCACTACGCGCTGTACAAGGCGATTAAGAGCGTAGAATTTCTGGTGGGGGAAAGGCGTTAGTGGTTTGACCGACTGGGATCTCTTTCCCGATTTGTGACAAGCTTAGGCAATCGAGTTTTATACATTGAACGAACATTGGGGAGAGCCTTAAAGCTACTTTGCAGATTTTTGCGTCATTTAAGGCTGTTTGTTTTCTGAGAAGTGTCAAATTATCTAGATTTTTAAAAGTTAGCAGATTTTTAAGGGTCAAAATTCCGGACCCGCTCTTCTCATTTCCATTGTGCGTTGGAGGCGACCCATAATCACAAGATTGAACGAAACTAAGGGTAGTTTTAATGCTGCATACATAAGGTATACAGTTTTTCTTCCCATTGTAATTAGTACATACCGCTTCCTTTGTGGAATTTGATGGTTTAGAGTTTTGTCGTGTATTTTTGTAAAGATAAATTCTACCTTAACGGGAAAGGGAATTTTCCCACAATATTACGTCCAACCCAGTTAGAAAAAAATAAATTTTTTGTTTTCTTTTTCTGAATTTAATACTAAATAGTGAGAATGTTCTAACTGAGTCGAAAGTTTTAAATTAGAAAAAATGATTAAACACGTCAAGAAGGCCAAAATTTGCTCTATTTTGAGGTCCTCCATCTCCTCCACTTTGGAGGAGTGCCCCCCACCTTACAAAAATTATTTCACTTCATTTGCACCCCTAAAAGTAACGGTGGTGCTTAGCAGAAAAAATTTAAAATTAATCCTGCAAAAGCGGCTCTCAGGATTTTCATTCAGAAAACGCACGAAGTGAAGTACCTCGGTAAGTTAGAGTTCTTCCATTAAAATTTTAGAGTATAGGAATAAATTTCAGCAAATCCGGATTATTTAAAATAAATTGGACAAGATAAAAAATACTTTTATTTTCGTGCCAAAGTTCGATTGCACAAATTTTAATCCTTACAAATCCCCACGCCGTTTATGAAAACAAATAGCTGAATTACGAGCACCGGATTCTCCGTACCCGATCGATACTAAGCAGGATTTCGTTCTAGACAGCATTTCAAATTGGAACGCGGATGACTGCCTTTGTTAATCGAGCTTGTCTAACTCAAAGCGACAAGCTACAACAACTAATTAGCGTGAGTCGTCTTCGTGTCCAAATTAATTAAAATCAAAGGTCACGTTTGTCGACGTTAAGGGCGTGTCCGTTGATTTGGACATCATCACGAACGTTACGGTCCAAGTGAGCATATTTACGAGCGTCCCCGCGAACAAAAATTGCCAAATCACGCGACCTCCCCGATCGATTAGCCATTAAACCTCTCTCCGACGGTGACGGATGGACTCACTCGCACTCACCTCTAAAGTTGAGAAACGTGGCGATTATGAGAACGTTGGTGACGATGATCGCGATGCCCATGATGAAGATGATTCCGGCCTGTGTGAGGGACTCCAGCGTAAACACGAGTTCCGTGTCGTCGTCGGCGTCGCTGAGTATGATCATAGTAGAGGTGTCGCTCGCACGAAACATGACCACTAGCGGGTCGGCCCCTTTGCTATGTAAGCGCGCGGGCTCAGGCTTGAGCGCCGCGTCGCCATAGCTAGCAGGGATCACCTAGACCTGACGCTCGGACCGCATTCTCGTTGAGTCATCTGAATTCCTGAAACAAAAGATTGCGGTCAGTTGGGACGGTAAAACCGTTCAAGATATCGACATTTCCCGCTTTATGTAACAAAGGAAGCATTCGTGGGCCTATCTGTCGCTACAAATTGCCTGTCATTTCATCTATTCAGTGGTATTTGCTCTGTAACAAAGCGGGGAAGGTTCTAAAAGGAGGCTTTGAACCGGGTTTGTATCAGATACGCGCACGTAATGCCAAACTGGCCTACGTTCGTTATAGCTTTTTCATTTTAAGTTTTTATTACGTAAGTGAAGTCGATTTTTGGTAAAAAAGGAACTGCCCTCTTTTGAGCCCCGAGGAAAAAATTGTCTCAGATCGATCCGGAAAAAAATGATCTTATAGAATGTGGCCTGAAGAATCCACAATTTCAAACAGTTTCAAGATTGGGCTACTATTTCAAAAGTTACAGCCCTTTGAATTTTTTTCTAGTCTATAACTTTTGTTTGAGAAGTCTGATCGAAAAAGTACAAATTGATTTGGATTCTACGCACCCAAATTAATAAGAAAAAGTGTTTTCCCGAGAAATTTTGGTGTAGTCGATTTTTGGTAAAAAAGGAAGGTAAAACACTGCCTTTTTTTGAGCCCCGAAGAAAAAATTGTCTCCGATCCGGATAAAGATTTTCTTATAGAATGTGGCCTGTAGAATCCATAATTTCAAACAGTTCCAAGATAGGGCTACTAGTTCAAAAGTTACAGCCCTTCGAATATTGTTCTAGTCTAGTCTATAACTTTTGATTGAGAGGTATGATCGAAAAAGTACAAATTGATTTGGAGTCTACGCACCCAAATTAATAAGAAAAAGTATCTTCCCGAGAATTTTTGGTGTAGTCGATTTTTGGTAAAAAAGGAAGGTAATTAACTGCCTTTTTTTGAGCCCCGAAGAAAAAATTGTCTCAGATCGATCCGGAAAAAAATTTTCTTATAGAATGTGGCCTGTAGAATCCATAATTTCAAACAGTTCCAAGATTGGGCTACTAGTTCAAAAGTTACAGCCCTTTGAATTTTTTTCTAGTCTATAACTTTTGATTGAGAAGTCTGATCGAAAAAGTACGAAATTGATTTGGATTCTACGCACCCAAATTAATAAGAAAAAGTGTTTTCCCGAGAATTTTGGTGTAGTCGATTTTTGGTAAAAAAGGAAGGTAATAACTGCCTTTTTTTGAGCCCCGAAGAAAAAATTGTCTCAGATCGACCCGGAAAAAAAATTTTCTTATAGAATGTGGCCTGTAGAATCCATAATTTCAAACAGTTTCAAGATTGGGCTACTAGTTCAAAAGTTACAGCCCTTTGAATTCTTTTCTAGTCTATAACTTTTGATTGAGAAATCTGATCGAAAAAGTTCAAATTGATTTGGATTCTACGCACCCAAATTAATAAGAAAAAGTGTTTTCCCGAGAATTTTTGGTGTAGTCGATTTTTGGTAAAAAAGGAAGGTAATTGCCTTTTTTTGAGCCCCGAAGAAAAAATTGTCTCAGATCGATCCGGAAAAAATGTTCTTATACAATGTGACCTGTAGAATCCATAATTTCAAACAATTCCAAGATTGGGCTACTAGTTCAAAAGTTACAGCCCTTTGAATCTTTGAATCTTTGACTCTTTGAATCTGTAGTCGTCGTAAGGTATTCATTACACAAATTACTTAATACTAGGAAGAATTATTTACGCTAGCGCTCGGTTTCTTGGAAACAAGACCGGGAAAGTATCTAGATGCAACCAATCTGTACGGTACAAAATCGATTATGAGTTGAAATCCAAAGTTACGCAGAAAAAGTATCCCTCCCCCTCCCCCAGTTCACGTTACAGGACAATAAATAGTGATTCAGTATTTTCCCCAGCCCAGTCGGTGCTAACAGCCCCCCCCCCTCCCCCCTACAAATCCGGCACTAACTGGATCCGTTAACAAAAGGAAGTATCCTCAACAATTTTGATTTGTTTTAGTGTGACGTTATACTTGATACAAGAACACGGGAGGCAAGGACGAGACAGGTTTTTACCCGTAGTTCGATGACAGTACGGACCCCTCCCTCCCTGAAAGAACGAGTGGAGAAACGCCAAATCATCCTCATCGACCTCCCTCACCCAGGCGGTAAAAATAATCGCCCACTCCGCCCCGAAACCAACAAAAAAGGTCGAAACGTTTACGACTAGGGTCGAAATACAGGATTCAGCGGACCAGGATAACGCCCTGTCGCAGGAAGCTACCGCAAGGAGCTTTATTTATTGAAGCAGTACAAAAGAACGACAAGCGGCACTTCAGGTTAAATTAACCCAGAAGGCTGGCATTTGAGCATGAATTACTTAAGGCAAGGGTGGTACTCAAAGGAGCCGACGCAGGGTACAGCATATCTTCATTGAGAGTACACTAGAACCGCCAATGCCAGGTGCAGAATAAAGAATGTGACCACGGTAGGGAGGGGCCAGCATCTGTTTACCTTAACAGAGAGGCAGCCGAGGTAGTATGCAGGCTTGGGCTTGACCTCATGCGGGGTGAAAATCAACGTGGACCAGATAGATGCTGTGAGTCAGGACACGTCTCGGACCAATGTAAAGGAGTGGACCGCAGCGACTAGTGTTTTAACTGCGGGAACTCCGGACACTGCGCGTGGGACTGTAGAGTGGAAGCCACATGTCGAAGATGCAAGCGGCACTGGCGTAACATAGCGATGGCGAGCAACGGGGTAACAACTTGTGCGAGGATAACGTGAGTCAGATACCGTTGCGACCAATGGTGGAAATGATTCAGAGAAACATTAGTAACAGCAAGGACGTGTACGACCTAGCCGTGCAAGGAACGCGCGAGCGGCCGCATTCGACCAGTTAGGTGTACAGGGTGGCCAAATAAGGATGCGAGGTACTGTATCTGGGAACCTGTCCATCGTAGAGGCTTGCGGTAAAAAAATTTATTACTAAAACGGCCACGAGAAAAACCTGGAAAATATTTTTAAGCTTCTGCAATGGCCGCTAGGGGGCGTAACTGCAATCTGGAATCTAAAAAATTGATTTTTCTGTGAATTCCGCTATATTAACCTAACAAAAAAATGTCCGGTCTTTGAAGTTGACGATAATTTGAACCTTTTTTGTTTGACAATTTTTCCTGTATCTCTAAAAATGAAGTGGTGGGTATTCAAAGGTTTCCGCAAAGAACACCCTGTATCTTCGAAACGACTGAGCCGATTTTAACAAACTCGGGTTAATTGAAAAGAGTTATACTTCGGCTACAAATATTATAATATTTGAAGTTTTGTTAGTTTCACATATCGCCGCTTGAGGGCTTTTTTCAACATTCCGACAGAAATGGTTAATTTTCTCAAAAAAATTAAATATGTTGGTTTGCTTTTTTTTCATGAAAAAGTAGCTAAATGATGCTTAAACAAGCTCGCGAAAACCGCATCTCGATATCTTGTTCCTAACCTAAAATTTAGGCTAAAGAAAATTTTGTACCCTCAAAATTTTATTTTTTTAAGCTAATTTTTCCGGAATTATTTTTATTATATAATGTGTGGCCCTAAGGGGGATCGATTTAAAAAAGTAAGCTTTTAATGCCGCTGTAAATGCTCGAAATGATGGCCATCTCAAGATATCGGAAATTGAAAGTAGTCCAAAGGAGGCGGTGAGGACGGGGGGAGGCAAGGTACGGTAGAGGTGCGATATCAAGGTACTAGAGATAATGCTCGACACAAATTTGAACAACATCAAGCACCTCTAGCAGATGGGATCACGGCGAAAGCGAGAGCCCGGCGATATCCCCCCGGCGATATGTTCACCCCCAAAACGTTCAGCTATAAGAACCCAAAATTCATGATGTTATGTGGTAAGGGTGCTAAACATGTATATAACGGGGGGGTCTGGGCGTATGGAAAACCCCACAGGAGAAGGAAATGAATTCCATACTCCCCAGGCCCACGGGTAATAGGTTCTCCCCCAAAACGTTGAGCTATAAGGACGCTTTCCAAAAATGCTAATGTTACGTGGCAAGGGTGCGGAAAAAAATATATAACCGCGGGATCATGGGTGTATGGAATACCCCCCCAGGAAAACGAAAGGGATTTAAAGTCCATTACGTCATAAAACCTTCGTGTACTGGGTTTCATACTCCCAGACACACGGTGATATGTTGGCAATGTGGTCGACAAGCAGAGGAATATTCAGGTGAGACGCGCCGGGGCAATTGATGACGATTGGATTGCCGCAACACTTTGGCAGAATCAGGACAGCGATCTCGATCTGCAACACATAGTGCAATGGAAAATTGCAGGCCCGAGGAATTGCTGTAGAGTTATGCTCCGTTTTCGCCACCTAAGGGAAACACCTGCATTATGCATAGGTGGGAACGACGTGTTTTCATTACATATAAATAATTGATAGTGATTTATACAAGTTCGAGAAACAGTTTGAGAAATGATATACAGGGTTAAGGATCATGGTCATGTAACTGGCAAATATAGAGGCTCCGGCGTGTAATAAATGTAATTTGAATATGATATTGCCTAATAATAATAAATAATTTAAAATAATTATTAAAATATTAATAATAAGCGATGTTCAACCTGATAATCAAAAATGACAATTGAAAAGGGATCGATTTGCTTTAGTAAGTACTCGGGCAGAAAATAATGTTTTGTATTTAAGGTTAGGTAGAAGCGATTTTAATAATTTGAGAAAAACTAATCCATTACACAACGCGCGCTTTTTTTTCATTTTTCTTTCCTTTCTCTGTACAACTTCGTGCAGCGATCCCATTCTTAATGTCAAAGAGCTTTCCATTAGAATGATTGCAGTATCGAAGGTATAATATGAACAGGTCGGTACCGCTGACCCAAATTTTTCACATCGAATCGATCAGAAGATCAGAAGCTTTTAATGCCGCAAATGCTCGAAATGCTGGCCATCACGATATTTCAAGATATCGGAAATTGAAGGTAGTCCAAAAGTGGCGATGAGGACGGGGGGAGGCAAGGTACGGTAGAGGTGCGA